AATTTGACCTATCTCTTTCTATTTCCATGCCTAGAATTCTCTTAACTTTACCTAGGTCTTTCATGTCAAATTCTCCACTTAGTTTTGCTTTTATATTGTTTATCCACTTTGAAGAAGAGCTAATTAAAAGCATGTCGTTCACATAAAGCAACAAAAATAGATAATTATTATCAGTCTCATTGGGTTGAAAATATAGGCAATGATCAAATTTACTTCTTTGAAACCCTATGGTGAGTACAAAGGAATCAAACCTCTTGTACCACGGTCTAGGTGATTGTTTTAAGCCATTTAGGGACCTTTTTAGAAAACACACATAATCAGGTTTTGACTTATCCTTAAAACCTTTTAGTTGATTCATGAAAATTTGTTCATCAAGTTCACCATGTAAAAAAGTAGTTTTACATCAAGTTGTACAAGTTCCCAGTCAAAATACGCAACCAAGGCAAGCATGACCCTAATAGTGGTGTACTTAACAACTGATGAGAAAATCTCATTATAGTCAATTCCTTCATTCTATGTGTAACCCTTAGCCACTAACCTAGCTTTAAACCTTAAGGGTTCCGAACTACTAGCACATTCCTTAACCTTAAAAATCCATTTACAATCGACGATCGATTTGTTCTTAGGTCTAGGTACCAGTTTCCAAGTCTGATTCTTTTCTAGATAACTCATCTCTTCTTTCATCGTCTTAAGCCACTCCTTAGATTGATCACTACCTATCGCCTCTTCAAAGGTTTTTGGCTCTTTATCAGTTAGTTCTTCATAACTAGCATGGACGAAAGCTAATTCAGATTCGAAATCGAACCTTCTAGGTTCTCTTGTTTGTCTCCTCTCTCTTTCCCTAGCTAGATTATAATTAGCTAAGGGGTTTTCTTCCTCAGGGTGTTCTTCTATTACTACTTCGTTATTGTTCTCCAACTCAGGTTCCTGAACCTGAATCTCCACCTCATTAGGAGTAGTAGGTGTAGGTATATTGAGTTTTCCTAACTCCACCTTAAATGGGTCTCTCTCTTCACCTGGTTCAGTTTCACTCTCAGATTCAGTTTTCCTTTTAATACATGGCATCTCATTCTCGTTAAACGTGACATCCCTACTTATGATGATCTTAACCTCTTTTTGGCTTCTATGCCATAACCTATAACCCTTAACACCCTTGGGGTATCCTAGAAAGACACACTTCCTAGCTTTATGTTCCAGCTTTCCCTCACTCTGATGAGAAAAAGCAGTACAACCAAAAGTTCTAAGTATCGAGTAATCACTCAGCTTACCCGACCATCTCTCACGCGGAGTGTCACCATTCAATGCAGTAGAAGGAGTCAAATTAATCAGATAACAGGCAGTCATAACAGCCTTACCCCAAAACGACTTAGGGACATAAGAACTTAGCATCATGCAGCGTACTTTATCAAGTATGGTCCTATTTATCCTTTCTGCTACCCCGTTTTATTGGGGAGTGTAAGGAACGGTCTTGTGTCTAGTTATGCCATTTTTTTACACATACTATCAAATTCTGTATTGCAGAATTCTAGGCCGTTATCTGTTCTTAAAAATTTGATTTTCTTGCCAGTTTGGTTTTCCACTTGTCTCTTTCAGTTATTAAAATTGTGAAAAGTCTCAGATTTGTCTTTCAATAGATAGACCCACACTTTCCTAGTATAGTTATCGATAATAGACAAAAAATACCTATTCTCACCCGATGTGGGATTATTAGCAGGACCCCACAAATCAGAATGCACATATTCAAGCATGCCTTTTGCTTTGTGGACACTCGTGGAGAACGAAGTTTTATGATGCTTACCAAGCATACAGTGATCACAAAATGACAAATCTGACACACAGTCATTACCAAATGTACATTTTTCATTAAGTAGTTTAAATCCCTTAATGCCTACGTGTGCAAGTCTATTATGCCATGTGTGTGTGTGATCAATCTTGACAGAAGAAATAGAGGAGTTCAAACCTCTAATCATTTCCCCAGTAGTGATATAGATATCGTTTTTCTTAGTTCCCTTAATGGAAACTAAAGTACCCTTAATGATTTTTAGCATACCATTTCCAATTTTACCAGTGAAGTCATCATTTTCAAGTATTCCTACTGAAATCAAATTCCTAGACAGTTTAAGAATATGTCTAACATATTTTAACGTGTACACAAAATCCGTGTCAAATTTTACGTCTATGTCACCAATTCCATCAATAGTATAGGCAAAGTTATCACATAGCACAACATGCCCAACATTAGATTCATGCAAGTTATAAAACCAATTCTTTTCAGACATCACGTGGAACGATGCACCAGAATCAAGTATTCACTCATGCATACGGGAATTAGCAGTTAGATTCAATTCAGCAGTGTATGCAACTGGACTTGTAAGCATATAGACCTCACTGTTATCTATCTCAGATGTAGAGGATAATACATTTACCTCACCTCTTTCCTTAATCTTTAACTTGCCCTTTTCTTTATGGAAATTTTTTATAAAATGCCATGTGTTCCACAGCCATAGCATTTTCTGGCCTTCATCCTAGATTTTGATCTAGATCTATCCTTGCCACTTGACTCCCCACCACTTTGATATACATCATGACTATTTTGCCTAAATTGAGTTCTATCCCACACCATATGTAAGTCACCGCTCCTCTTATCGTATTTTTCAACCCTAATTTCCATTTCTTTGCTCCTAAGGGAGTCTATCTATCTATGACAATTTCAGGTGTCAACGTATCTCTATCATACTTAATGACGTTCTTACCTTCCTTATAGGAATCAGGGATCGCATTAAGCAAAATTATAGCCTTATAAGTTTCGGACATAGCATCGTCACAATTAACTATATCTTGCACCAACTTGTTAAACACGTCTAAATTGTCATTAAGATCTTTTGAAGGATCCATTTTAAAACGAAAAAAATATTCGAGCAAGTAAAGTTTATTCGGTGTAAACTTAAGCAAATATAAGTCTTCAAATTTTTTTCAAAATTCTTTGATGGTTTTCAGTTTACCCACATTTCTTAAAACCGCGTTAGACAAGTGTAAACTGATTGAGGTATAAGCAAGCTCATCGACTTCTTCTCTTTGTTCTTTTGAAAAATCAGTTTGAAAATTGCCTTCGATGGCCTTTGAAACTTTTTGTTGGACTAAAATGCCCTTCATTTTTTGTTGCCAAATAGAAAAGTCATCATTTCCGTTAAAAATTCCCAAATCAAAGTTGTGAGTTGACATCTTCACACAACAGTCAAAGAATGCACAAACCACAATCAAACCACACAAAGTAGTCCTAGAGTCACAGACAGTATACACCGTTCTAAATTTTCAGGGTTTTGTAAGACTCACGGTCTTCGATCAAGGGAATGTTTGAACGAGTAAGGTCACGATAGTTCTAACAGAATAAGTAAGTAGCGGAAGTAACAATGTTACAAAAGATACGTCTAGCAGATAACTAGTTTCACAGTTATTACATCACTAAGAATTAAAATTGATTTTAACCAAAAACAAATACTCAATCAAACAATTAAGAGCAAGTGTCGCTAATTTCTAGAACAAACAATGGTTGTCAAGCAATGACAACCCCCAAACCTAATGATCACTCCACACAATGATCTGCTAGTGCAGAAATATAAAAGTTTCAGTCAATTTATCAGAGCGGACCTATTTGAGTCCGTAACGTGGAGAGATGGGAATTTGCTGCTTTAGGGCCACCACTATTCGCTTTAAAGATTCAGCAAATATAGCAATTTTGATCAACAACAAATGCAGATTGAAGGTAGGGGCAAAATCGTCCAATCTTTTCTGCACAACCTGAAACACTAAACCAAACATATTAGTACGTTCAGGAAATCAAAATAAGTGAAATGACACGAAAAAACCACGCAGGAGCTCCTCCACGTGCCGCCGTCGGACAGCCACGTGCCTTACCAGCCTTCGTTCGTCCAACGGAGGTCGCGTTTGGTTGGAATAAGCAGTTGCAGGTTCGGCCCCTTTTGAAAATCGTGAACCAGCCGCCAGTTATGGTCGATTTTTTGCTGCAGAAGATGACCTTGGTTCTGATACCAGATGTGAGACCAAAATCCAGCAATACCCAAGGTGATACCGGGCTCAGTTTCCACCAAAGTCGACACCACCACTATTGAGACACACCCAAATCTCTCTTTTCTTTTTCCCACCTACGGTTGCTACTCATACCCACAAAGAGTCGGCCAAGATGAGATCAATATAGCCCAAGAGAAACCACACAGATTGCTCGAGAGAAAGAGGTTGAGAGTTAGCTGAGAAGAACTCATAGAGAGGAGTAAAGAAGACCACTATTTTGGAGGCATGAAGGGAGCCAATAATTATAACCCAAAGGTGTGACCATATATGGTAAGTTAGGGTAGGTTAACTTAGTGGTCCAAAAGAGGCTTAACACAAAGGTATTGGGCTCCAAATGAATATCGTGGCCATCCAAGTAAATTGGACGGTCCACGAGCAACACTATTAAAATAGGTTGCTTCTAAAGACCCGTAGAAAATTGGATTGGATTGTCTCGATGGTAGTGTCGACATATAGTTCAATCTTATGGTCAAAGCCGATTGATAATAAATAAAATCAAAATTACATCATTGTTCGGGAGGTCGTTTAACAATAAATTGCCTAACAAAAATGAAAAATAGGGAACAAAGGTTTAGAAGTTTTGCCGTCAATAAGCCTAATGAAAACAAATACTTGGAGATAAAATTTCAAAAAGATAAGTACGATAGAACAGTGTTTCCTCATTATCGTGTTTCGAAAAATGCTTCTTTTTAGTGTCCCTTGTCTTAGTACCACGCGTCCCCTTACGGTTGCGTGGCTTTGCAACTGTCCTCCGCATTCCTTGCACATGCCACGTTCTAATTCTATCAACCGTCATGCTTCTGCATCTACTCTAAGCACATCTATTTATGCATTTATGTGAATATTTGTGAAATAGCTATATTCTGTTATCGAAATTTGAATTTAAAAGGAAAAATCAACTGAGTTTTCTCATGGATACCAGAAAGAGAAGCATTACAATATTAATGCTACCATGGCTAGCCCATGGCCACATATCTCCACATCTGGAGTTAGCCAAGAAACTCGCAAACAGAAACTTTTTCATATATATTTGTTCCTCACCAATCAATCTTTACTCTATCAGGAAAAATCTTTCTGAAAGGGAATCCATTTCTATAAAACTAGTAGAGATTCATATTCCAACTTCGCCGGAACTTCCCCCACACTATCACACTACTAATGGCCTCCCACACCGTCTCATGCCTGCCTTGAAAAAAGCCCTTGACGCTGCAAGGCCCAGCTTTTCCACCACCCTAAAAACCCTTCAACCGGATTTAGTTTTATATGATTATCTCCATCAATGGGTGCCGGAGGAGGCTACGTTGCTGAATATTCCGGCGGTGCTGTTTTGGACCGCGGTGCAGCTACATGTGCTTACTTTTTGCACGAGTGTTTTTAAACTAGAAACTGAATTCCCTTTTCCAGTTCCTTTTTTTCGAGATTATGAAATTGAAAGGCACCGTCTTCTGTTAGTCAATGACACCAAAGATTCTGAAAGACTCATGAATTGTGTTCAACAATCATCTGATATTATTCTGATCAAGACTTTTGCAGAGCTCGAGGGGAAATACATTGATTACTGCTCCATCATGGCTCAAAAGAAATTTGTCACAGTTGGCCCACTGGTTCAAGCGACAGTCACTGCAGGTGACGATCACAGTGAGATCATTGAATGGCTTGATAGGAAAAACTCGAATTCGATCGTGTTTGCTTCTTTCGGCAGCGAGTATTTCTTGTCTGAGGTTGATATTAGTTGGAAATTCAGAAAAATGTTGAATGGAAATTTACATTGTATTTCATTGCTTCAGCATCAGTAAATATATAATACAAGGGAGTGTACAAAAGAATATTCTAGATTTCTACAGCTGTAAGTTAGTTCCTTAAATTATGGAATATGTTAGGAATATATTGATAACAGAAATCAGAGTGGCAGTATTCTGGTGAAACGGAAGATGAGATAGCAAGGATGAACAAGTGCTGATACTGTGATTTGTTGTCAACTGAGCTGGAGGCTGATGTATATATCAATTCTTGACACCCCCCTTCAAGCTCCTAGCTTGTCTTTCAAGAACAGAAATCTTGAGTGAGTGAGGCCTTTGGTCAATAAGTCTGCAATTTGATCAGAAGAAGGCACATATTTCACTTCTAGCTCCTTTCCAAGAACCTTGTCTCTAATAAAATGAATGTCCAATTCAATGTGCTTCGTTCTGGCATGGTATACTGGATTTGCTGCTAAGGCTCCTGCACCCATGTTGTCACACCATAAAACTGGAGTTGTCACTTGTGGTAGTTCAAGTTCTTTGAATAGCGATTGAATCCAAGCAATTTCTGAAGCTGCTGATGCAAGAGCTCTATACTCTGACTCTGTACTCGATCTGGAAACTACATGTTGTTTCTTTGATGACCAGGCTACCAGGTTGTCTCCTAAATAAATGCAATAGCCTGCTGTTGATCTCCTATCATCTAGACAGGAGGCCCAATCTGCGTCTGAGTATCCGGTCAGGTTTAATCTGTCACTTCTTTGTATCCATAGCCCTTGATTCATTGTTCCTTTAAGGTATCTGAACACCCTCTTTACTGCCTGCCAATGTGTAGAAGTTGGTGATTGCAGAAATTGGCTCAGTTTATTTACAGCAAAAGTAATGTTAGGCCTGGTGTGTGTGAGGTATTGCAATCCTCCTACTGCACTCCTGTAAATTGAGGGATTCTTCAACACTTTGCCATCAGCCTTTGACATGGTTTTGCCGGCAAGAATAGGAGTAGGACAAGGCTTCATATTTTGCAACTCAAACTTCTTAAGCAGCTCGACAATGTATCTTGTTTGTGTAAGGTGAAGTCCTGAATCATGCCACACTACTTCAACTCCAAGAAAGGTATGAAGTTGTCCCATATCTTTCAGAGCAAATTTTTTGTTCAATTCATTTATGAATCCCTGTAATAGCTCAGCATCATTTCCTGTCACAACAATATCGTCAACATAGATAAGTGCAAAAATTATTTGGCTTTCCTTCTTGAAGTAAAATAGTGATGTATCTGCTATTGATTGCTTGAACTTCCAGCTTAACAGTGTTGTTTTCAACTTGTCATACCAGGCTCTAGGTGCCTGCTTCAATCCATAGAGTGCTTTTTCAAGCTTGCATACATGACTGGGTTTTGACTTATCTATAAATCCCTCTGGTTGACTCATATATACCACCTCTTCAAGCTCGCCGTTTAAGAAGGCATTGTTGATGTCAACTTGCCTGATTGTCCATTCCTTCGAGACTGCCAAAGTGAGTATAATTCTCAAGGTTGATACTTTGATGACTGGACTAAAGGTTTCATAGAAATCGATTCCAGGAGCTTGATGAAAACCTTTGGCCACCAGCCTTTCTTTGAGCCTCTGAATAGATCCATCTATGTTTCGTTTTATTCTGAAAACCTACTTGTTCCCTACTATGTTGTAGGTCGGTGATGGAGGCACAAGTTTCTAGGTTTTAGTTTTTATTAGAGCATTGAATTCTTCCTCCATAGCTTTCTTCCAATCCTTATTCATCATAGCTTCATTCACACTTTTAGGTTCTGATGGTTCTGGATTGTTTTCAATTGATTTTCCCAAATAAACCTCGGGTTTAAACACTCCAGCCTTCCCCCTGGTGATCATAGGATGCTCTATTTGATTGCTTGCTCTTTGTTGATTGCTCTGTTCAGGCTCATCACTAGCAGGTAGCTGATGACTTATGTAATCTGATTCAAGCCTTTCATTATTCTGAGGTAGTTCAACTTCTGTTTCAACACTTTGTTCATCAACACCTCTTAAAGACCTTTCATTGCTGTTATCCTCCTCACTATTATCCACACTTTCACTTGAGCCAGGAAGTGAGTAATGCACAGCATGGGTTGCTTCAAGATGAGTTGCATCAGCAGGACTTGAAGTAGGATTTGAGTTGTTTAAGGGAAATTGGAAGTACGATACAATTGTTTCAAGTTCTTCAGACTTAGACTAGTTTTGAACAGAAAACAAGGACTCAAATGGAAACTCCAGTTCATTGAATACAACATGCCTTGAGATGTATATTTTTCCTGCTGAGTTCAGACATTTGTAACCTTTATGAGATTCACTGTAACCAAGGAAAACACATTTTGTAGAGTGAAAGGTGAACTTATGTTTTTGGTAAGGTCTCAAGCAAAGATAGCAAGCACACCCAAAGATCCTTAGTGCCTTATAATCAGCTTCCTTTTTATGTAAGGTTTGGAAAGGGGATTGCATTTTGAGGGTAGGTGTAGGCATCCTATTTATGAGATAAGTGGCAGTCTAGAATGATTCCCACCAATATTTCAAGGGCAATTTAGCTTGAGCTAAGAGGGTTAGGCCTGTTTCAGTTATGTGCCTGTGTTTTCTCTCTATTTTCCCATTTTGAGCTGATGTGTAAGGACAGGGGTGTCTAAATTCGATCCCTTCTTGTGTTAAGAAGTTTGTGAATGTTCTATATTCTTCTCCCCAGTCAGCTTGTAGAGTTTTTATTTTGCTTGCAAACTTGTTTTCAACTAGTTTCTTGAATTGAATGAACACATTTAGTGCTTCAGATTTTTGTTTTAGAGGATAAATCCATGTAAATCTGCTGAAATCATCTAAAAAGGTTATGTAGTATTTGAAGCCTGAAGTTGATTGAATGGGTGCTTGTCTCCACACATCTGTGTGTATTAGTTCTAAAGGTGATTTGGCATGTGAGGTGGATAAGGAAAAAGGTAGTAGATGAGCTTTGCCAAGTTGACAGGCATCACAGAATGATTTGATTTCATTTTCTTTGAACTTTTGATTACAAGTTTTGAGCACTTAAGATACCACTTCACTGACTGGATGTCCAAGCCTCTTGTGCCATACATCAATTTGGGAATTTAAAAACTCTTGACTAGACTCTTTAACTAGGACTGGTAGAGGATAGGATGCAGCAAAGTTTATTAGAGAGAGCTAACTTCTTAGAGTGACACTTGGTGTTTTGGAGAGGAAAATCCATTTGATACAACCCTTCTTTAAGCTTCCCTTGCAGCATTACTTCCCCCATTAGCTTGTCCTTAACAAAACAACAATTAGAATGAAATTCCATATAAACTTGATTGTCAGATGTTAACTGTGAAACACTGATAAGATTTTTCTTGATCTCAGGAACATGAAGCAGTTTGTTTAACACAAGTGGTCTATCATTTAAACTTGGGATGTGAGTTATACCATAGTGTGAAATGTGCAACTTGTTTCCATTTTCAACCATGATTTTCTCCTTACCAGTGTATTCATTGACTGCAGTAATGTTTTCCTTTTCAGCAGTGATGTGGTTACTTGCTCCTGTATCAGCAAACCAGACAGGATCATTCAAGGTGCTGGGAGATGCTATGAGTGCTGTTGGTGAAGGGCTGTAGTTAATCCTCTGGTTTGGCGGTGTTCCAGTGTATCTTTTATCATATCGAAAATTGCAAATGTTAGCCTTATGTCCAATCTTACCACACACTTGGCATATAGGTCTGTCACCAACATTAAAATTTCCACCCCTGTCTCTGCCTCTTCTTCCACTTCTGAAATTATTGAAACTTGAAGGTCTTCCACCAATACCTGGCCTGTAGTATCTGATGTGTTGATGATTGGGGCCTGATATTTGAGAAAATTTTGCTGATGTTTGATCAAGGTTGATCCCTGCCATCTCATTCTTGACTGTGTTGAGGTGTTCAAGTCTGCTTTCAAAAGTCATAAGTGTTGATTGTAGTTCTCCCCAAGAGATGTGATCTCTGCTATTAATTTGAACAACAATTGGTGTATATTCTTCATCTAAACCAGCCAAGACCTGAGTGACCAGATCAGATTGAGGAATAGTTTTGCCAGCAATTTCAAGATTATCTGCAAGCAGCTTCACTTTGTTCAAATATTGGTCAATGCTCATGGTTCCATTCCTTGATTTCTGAAGCTCACCATTAAGAAATGTTATCCTGGACCTGTTTTGAACTCCATAGCTCTCCTTTATGGCAGTCCACAATTCATTGGAGTTGGTGGCACCCATGACTCTCATGGCTATATCAGGAGTCATTGAAGAGTAGAGCCATCCCATTAGAAGTTGGTCTGTTGACATCCATTGATTATATTCTGGATTTTTGGTCATTTCAACACTGGCTCCAGCTTCACCAGTAACTTGAGTGCCAATAAATTCTTGAGGGCACACCTTTGTCTCCAGAATATAGCCTTCAAGGTTGTGTCCACGAGTGATAAGCAGAATCATATTTTGCCATAGCAGAAAATTGTTTTTGTCAAGCTTGATTGACACTACTTGGGTCAGATTCACACCAAGGGATGAGAGATGGTTGCTTCCCTGCATTGGAGCAACGGTATTGCTTAAGGTTAATACAGGAGTAGAGTTGGGTTCAGTGCTTTGTGGTGTATTACCAGTGTTGGCCATGAATTGGCTCTGATACCAAGTTGGAAATTCAGAAAAATGTTGAATGGAAATTTACATTGTATTTCATTGCTTCAGCATCAGTAAATATATAATACAAGGGAGTGTACAAAAGAATATTCTAGATTTCTATAGCTGTAAGTTAGTTCCTTAAATTATGGAATATGTTAGGAATATATTGATAACAGAAATCAGAGTGGCAGTATTCTGGTGAAACGGAAGATGAGACAGTAAGGATGAACGAGTGCTGATACTGTGATTTGTTGTCAACTGAGCTGGAGGCTGATGTATATATCAATTCTTGACATATTGAAGAGATAGCTTATGGCGTAGAGCTCAGTGGAGTGAACTTTATCTGGGCTTTTAGGTTTCCTATAGATATGAATAACAAGATTGAGGAAAAACTACCCAAAGGCTTTCTTGAAAGAGTAGCAGAGGGAGGAATTGTCGTGGATTGGGCACCACAGAGGAAAATTTTAGCCCATTCCAGATTTGGCGGATTTGTGAGCCACTGCGGATGGAGTTCAGTAATGGAAAGTTTCCATTTCGGAGTGCCGGTGGTGGCTTTGCCAATGCATCTTGATCAGCCGTTAAACGCCAAGTTGGTGGCGGATATAGGGCTGGGGGAGGAAGTAATCAGGAACAAGGAAGGAAATCTTGAAAGAGAGGCGATCGCGGGAGTGATAAGAAAAGTAGTGGTTGAAAAAGGAGGGGAAAATTTGAGGAGGAAAGTAAAAGAATTGAGTAAAAAAATGTGGGAAATAAAAGAGGAAGAAATAGATGGTGCAGTGGAAGAAATGGTTAAGCTTTGTAAGAGAAGGGAAATGCTTAATCTTGCACCAGCAAATTCCATGAAGAAATTGAATCTTATGGTGACAAATGGCGATGGACGTGTGGAGACTGCTTGAAGCATGAAGGAAAATTTTTGTGTGCGCTTTAATAAATGAAAATAAGTGGAGACTATTTCCTTGTAAATATGCCCTGCTGGTTTACCTTGTTTAGATTTATTTTTAATTTTTATATTAGTAGTTGCCCATTGTCTAATAAAATCGTAGTGCTTGTACAACACAGGAGAGGAAGAAGTCTTCTTTTTAAACATTCCACGCTATTATGTTCCTCATTGTAGAGGAGAAGAAATAAGAAGCAAGGTGATAATACCGTAAGAGTGGAGAGTTTTTTTTTTGGATGAAGTTTTGTTACTGTATGATAGTGTTTTATTTGTCATTAACTTGTTTTATTGGATGCAAGGCCTGTAAGGCATGGAGATTTTATGCTATAATCACACATGGAATGATTTGAGTGCGGGTGTTTGTAATACTTGATTAGTTCTAATATGGTTTGTATGTAAAAACGTGTCGAAGGTATTAACCAACATATAAAAAACAAGCTTGCTACTTTTACGTTCACTTTTAGAGTTGGAATGGATCTGATCCAGATTTAAATGAGACAAATATGAGCCATTCTACACTACGAAATGAGTTGTTATCTAATTATGGGGCATGTAAGAGAAATATTTCACATTGAATAACTCTTACATTCCTGAGATGAAAAGCTTTCTTTGAGATTTATGAACATTATGAAGACTTCTCTTTTAGAAAATTCAGAAACTTCGATTGATAGATTTTCCATGGTCAACAAAAAGTGAATAAGTATTTTTATTTTATTTTTACAATTATCAATTTATTATATCAAACTATATATATATATATGTGTGTGTGTGTGTGTGTGTGTGTGTGTGTGTGTGTGTGTGTGTGTGTGAACATTATGAAGACTTCTCCTCTTTTAGAAAATTCAGAAACTTCCATTAATAGATTTTCCATGGTCAACAAAAAGTGAAATAAGTATTTTTATTTTATTTTTACAATTATCAATTTATTTTATATATATAAGATAATGGTAGCATAATAATTAGCAAAGATTATATGCAATTACAAAAATTTACAATTTGTGCACCTACTTATACTAAGACTATTCCATCAGAGTATGCTGAGAAGCGTGATGGGACTATAGAAAAAGAATGTGAGTGTAGTAGAGAAAGAGAATGTCAATTAATAGAAAAAGAAGAATTAGAAAAATTAATAGAAAAAGAAGAATTAGAAAATTTTTTAGAATATTACGAAAACTTTAAGGAAAAAGAAGAAATATGTTTAGATTTTGTAGAAATTGAAAAAATATATAATTTGTTAGTAACAGAACAAGATATAGAAAACATGATTAGTAAACTAGAAAAATTAGAAATTTTAGGAGAAAATGTATTAAAATATTGGAAAAAAGATAAAGTTTTTTGTGAAATAAAAATAAAAAATTCAGAATATATATAATAAAAGATAAAGTTTTTTTTTAAAAAAAAACTTTTATTTGAAATTAAAAATATGTCATCTGAGATATATGAACTTGGGCCTAACTCCATTCTTGCAAGGACACCACTGACACTCCCTTAACAAAAAATCTTAAAACAGTGATCATTTTTCCCTTTCTATGCGTTTCACTAGCCTTTCCACTAGGTCTTTATACTTTGAAGGGTCACTCAGGGCTTATTTTAAAAACAGTTTAAACTTTAACTTGGAGTTAAGACATGCTCTTATCATATACTCAGCATGAAACATAAAACTTTACAAAGAATTTACAGAAACAAAAAATCTTATAAATAACATTTGTTCTTTAAAGATCTGGGACTAATATTGATTATTAGTACCATATCTTAGAACAATAAAACATACCTACCGGAATGATCCATCAGTAGTTTAAAAACATAAATATTTTTTGTAGGATATTATCATATCTAAGAATAAAAACAATTAAGAATTTTCCTTTCGGGAAAGAGAGAAAATTAGAACATGTTTCAAAAAAATAAATTTTTATTATTATTTTTCTCTATTCTGTCTTTACAAGTGAAAGAATGACCTCTTATATAGGAAAGAAAAAGGAAGAAAACGCGTTTTTCAAAAGCAAAGAATCTTTGCTTTTTCAAAAACGTCAAAAAGAAAACAGTAAAAAGTTTAATTATCAAATCTTACTTTATAAAACAGTAAGATTCGTTACATATTTTTCAAAAAGAAATCAGTAAAAAGTCTGTCTCTCGTACAATAATTCTTGATCTTTTTGGAAGTTTGCCAAATGTCTATTTTCCAGCTAAGTCTTTATTTGTAGATCTTTCTTGAATCCTTATCTTGTCTCATAATTGTGTCGGCCAATACTGTCTAAAGATGCTCCTCCATCAGTATAACCTTCTGAATTATTGTCCTCTTCTGTATTATCCTCATAATCTTCTTTAAGATCAATTTTCTTTTTGCTTTTGTTTTTCTTCTTTATCTGCAACTTCTTTTTCTTTGAGGTCTTTTGTTTAACTTGTTGCTGTAATTCTTCTATTTTATCAAACATTTCTTTCAATCTTTTTATATCTGATTGAGTAATTTGCTCTGGATCTTATGATGATTGAAATGATTCTGATATAAGATTAACTGGGCTTTTCTGTTTTAAATCTATTGGACTAATTCAATATCTTCTATATTAAAATATCTTTGACCTTTAGGTAAAGTTTTTCCATATAAGGGTCCTGCAATTTTTCCTAAATCTTTAATAAAGGGTCTAGCATAATTAACTAATCCTAAAAATTTTTGTAACTGCTTAAGGTCTTCAAGTTTATCTGGAAAATCTAAAGCTTTTTGAGCTATATGAGGTTGTAACTCTATTTTTCCTTTTCCTATATTTACTCCTAAAAATTCTATATATTCTTTAAATAAAAACATTTTCTTTTTATTTATAATTAAACCATGTCTAATAAATTCTGAAAAAAGAATCTGTAAATGACCTCTATGTTCTCGCCTATTTTTACTAAATACTAAAATATCATCTATATAAACTATAATAAATTTATTATGCTTTCTAAAAATACTATCCATTTTTCTTTGAAAAATACTAGGGGCATTTTTTAATCCAAATGGCATAACTAACCATTCAAAATGTCCTTCTGGGCTAGTGAAAGCTGTCCATTCTATTGAGTCTGGATGCATTTTTACTTGTCAAAAACCAGATTTTAAATCAAACTTACTAAAAATATTACAATCTTGAATCTTATTTATTAAAATTGTCTTATCTGAAATATTATAGGCATCATCTATTGTATTATCATTTAATCTTTTATAATTAATTACCATTCTACTTTTTCCTCTAATAATTTCTGAATGTTTTCTAACTATAAAAGCTGCTGATCTATGTGAACTTTCTGATTTTTTAATTACTCCTAATTTTAATAAATCTTTTATATCTATCTTAAAATCTTCCTGATCTTGGTTTGTAGCTTCAATATTTTTTGTCTTAATTATTTATTCTGGATTTTTTTTATTTCACAAAAAACTTTATCTATTTCCCAATATTTTAATACATTTTCTCCTAAAATTTCTAATTTTTCTAGTTTACTAATCATGTTTTCTATATCTTGTTCTGTTACTAACAAATTATATATTTTTTCAATTTCTACAAAATCTAAACATATTTCTTCTTTTTCCTTAAAGTTTTCATAATATTCTTCTAAAAAATTTTCTAATTCTTCTTTTTCTATTAATTGACATTCTCTTTCTCTACTACACTCACATTCTTTTTCTATAGTCCCACTACGCTTCTCAGCATACTCTGATGAAATAGTCTTAGTATAAGTAGGTGCACAAATTGTAAATTTTTGTAATTGCATATAATCTTTGCTAATTATTATGCTACCATTATCTTTTAATAAGAAACTTAATCCTAAAATTAAGTCTGTATTTAAAGATAATTCTCTTACCCATACTGAGTCTTTAGGTAAACTATATTCTGTACTTTTTCCACAGTTAGTCTCAAAACTAATTCTTGCTGGTTTTAAGATATCTTGATAACTATAAAAATTCCCATCCATTTGTTGGGCTTCTATAGGTTCTTTTGACTTTATTATATATTTTTCTGGTATGATTCTTTTATTAATTACACAATGACTACATCCTGAATCTATTAAACCTAAACAAATTATTTCGAAATTTTCTATTCTAACATAACATTTTACTTTAAAACTTTTTAATTTTTCTGAATTACAAAAAACTTGAACTAATTCTGGTTCAGGAGTAATTTCTGGGTTTTTTTCCTTTTTTATTTGATTCCAAGAATTCTAATTTTTGTAAAATATATCTTTGCATATCTTCTAAATTTTCTATTCTTTTTCTTAATATTTTTATTTCTGATAATTCTATTTGAATTGAATCAATCTGATTATCCTCTTCAAATTCTACCAAGTCTTTTTGTATTAAGCATTTTTTACATGCTTCTAAAAAACAATTTTTACATTTAGCTCTTAATTTTTTATTAGGATACTATTTACATAAAAAACATGGTATACTATCTGAACCTGTTTCTTTTACCCTTTTATGTTTACATTCTAATTTTATATTCATAAATTCTAATTCTTCATCTGAATCTGATAAATTTTTAATATTTAAAAATTCTTGTATAAAATTTTCATAATCTGATTGTTCTTCTAGATTACAATTATTATTATAATCTTCTATTGATATAATATTATATACTGACTCTTTATCTGAAATATATTCATCTATTTCTAGCAAGTCTTCATTAGTACATTCTACTAAAGTACTTCTTTTATCATTATTATTTATCTTTTTTGGACATGTCTTAGCTAAATGATCTGTTTCTCCACAAACATAACAATTTAGTTTATTAGGATAATTTCTTTCTGGTTTAAATTTTCTAACATGTCTATTTTTATCTAAATAAGGCTTTCTTCTATTAGATTTTCTAAGATAATATCTTTTCTTAAAAGGTTGACTAATTTTCCTTTTATCATATTTTCTTTTAGTCTTTTCTCTAAACTTATTACCATAAGTCCGAGGTGTGAAAATATCTTTACAGAATTTATAATATGTCTTTTTTAGTTGATTCTGGATTTGTAATTCAACACATTTTTCTTCTAAACATTGCATTATGAATTGTGTTCTTATTCCTATACTCCATAAATGATCTGGTTTTTCTATAACATTCCTATTTTCATTCCATCTTTTTGCTATTTCTAATCCTAAGGGACCTG